TTGTTCACAATTTTTATCATATATTTGAAGATTCTTTCGTGCATTGGTTTACTTTACTACAGAGGCTAAAGGAGCTGAAAGACTCAACAATCCAACGAGCCGCCAGTTGCGGCTACATGGATGCGCCAGTTGACGAGGCCATTTTTGACGTGGAAAAAGACGTTGATGACCTTTTACCGGTCGAAGTTAAAGAACAAAGGCTCAGTAATTTGCTTCAGGCCATTATGGTTGGGAGTTGTGTTGGGGCTATGCCTCTCTTGAAAAAAATTCCAACTTCAGTACTGTGGGGCTATTTCGCTTTCATGGCAATCGAAAGCTTGCCTGGAAATCAGTTTTGGGAGCGGATTTTACTGCTTTTTACGGCTCCCAGTCGAAGATACATGTAAGTGCATTTCTTTTTGCTGATTAATATTTGATATATTACAAACTACTACTTAAATTGAGTCTAATTACAAAAAGAAACCCCATTTATCGTTCAAGATTATGAACCCTTAACCGAAATATTGGAATCAAACTGCAGTATTTTTCCAATTAGGCTAAAACATCAGGGGTAGTTATTATCCTTAAATGATTTTGTATGTACTTTCATGATTCATTTCTTTCAGATTTAGGCACAAAAGGTACACGTTAAATTCTTGATTATAATTAATTACAAAAAGGCAACATTTATATTTCGGAATCACAAATTCCCCCTTGAGGTTGGTAATTATGAAACAAAGGGGATAGTTTTTGGAAATGACCTTTATATAGATATTAAGCTATTTCTATTGGCGTAAAATTCTGATAATTTTTCGACTTTTCAAAACCGAGGCAGGGTTCTAGAAGAGTACCATGCAACATTCGTGGAGACGGTTCCTTTCAAAACGATTGCCTTCTTCACGTTGTTTCAGACATTTTACTTGCTTTTGTGCTTCGGTATAACATGGATTCCAATAGCCGGTGTTCTTTTCCCTTTGCTGATTATGCTGCTTGTACCCGTTCGACAATATCTACTTCCCAAGTTCTTCAAAGGAGCTCATTTGCAAGATTTAGATGCTGCCGAGTATGAAGAGGCCCCTGCAATAAGTTACAACTTATCGTATGAAGTAAGTTTTTTTTTTTTTTTTTTT